TTACATGCACATGCTCCAAGGCCAAGACCAACTTTGCATTTCTCAACTCCCATCGATAGTGGAAATAATCGATTTTTTCATGCTTCTACGGCAGTTTTCATGTAGTTTGCGGTCATTTTCTACTGGCCAGGAAGATTCTATTCGCCAGCGTGAGAGCCAACAGCTGACTGAAACGAATGTTAACTAGCATGCTAGCATGCAAAAAAAAAACGATAGCTGCATTCGTCACAAGTGGGAAAAATTTAAATCTGCATGGCACTTTACTCCAATTAGCTCATTCGCTTGCTTAAACTCAACGTTGATTCTGATTCCGCAGAACTGGGTTGGGTGTGAAAAAGTATTTATTGTTAACATTCTTTTTTCATTCGGTTTTTCCAGTTACGAGTCCTTTTTTTAAAGCTGATCGTTTTGTGCTCATTTTGTTTAGTTCTTTTTTCGTAACAGATTTAATGTTTAGTATAGAGCTTAGAAAAAATTCGCAGTGTGAGATAGGCAAGAAGTAATGCATGTAGCAACATCAGCACGGCAAAGAGCACTCCTTTAAAGGAAGGGCAAAAATATTTTAAGTCAAGTGATAGCGATTGCTGTATGAGTCGTACGATTTTTTAATCAAGCACGGGCAACACTGGGCCATGCTGCTAGTCGCTTATTAAAACAATAAACATTGCCCAGGAGTGAAGGTAGTTAAAATAATAACATTTTCAAGCGGAATAAATCGTCCTTTTGTTACACCGATGTTTTGTGGACACTAAGGACCATGTTTGCCAAAAAAAATCTTTATAAAGTAGTGTGCTGGAGATTTGCGAGCGAATACTATTCTGTTGCCTCAAAATGAGACTGATAGCGATCAAATCACTTGAAAATGAGTTATACCAAACGTTAATGACGAAAAAAATATATTTTCATATTTAATTAATTTGTCTCTAAATATTTCTTTAATATACAAAAGTGCGGACATTTGTTGCCGAGTATAAAAAAGCTATACCCATGAGATACAGCAAACTATCTTTTTATAGAAAAGTAACGATTTAATAAAACAAAAAAAAATTATTGTCATTACGAGATGACACCGGTTATTGAATTGTCTTTTACTAAAACCAAAATTTTTCCCAGCCCAACCTGTGGTGGAATCTATTGGCAAGGTAAGAATCAATATATTGAACATAATGAACGTATAGAGTTGATGTCCTCTGGGTGTTGGAATTGGGTCAGAATAAAAATCCAAATTGCTAATCCCAATATTGGTGAAAAGGGTTGAGTTGTGTTTTAGATTCTGCATCGATCACGATACCTCAGAGGTTTGACCCAACGATTAGAGGAAGAAAGAAAAGACAGAATAAAGAAAATGAAAGAAAGTAGGAAATGAAGAAGGAAAAATTGAACAAGGAATGAAAAGAAGGATGTGAAGAATGCAAAAGAAGGAAAGAAAAAAAAAAGCAGAAGATAGAAAGTAAAGAAAGAAAATAAAGGGATAAGAGTCAAATGAAGAAAAAAAAATGGAGGGAAAAAGAGAAAAAATAAGAATTGAAGAGTGAAAAGTAGGAATAATAAAAACGGAAAAAGAAAAATTGAAAAAAAAATGAAAATGGAGAAAGAAAGAAAGAAAGTAAGAAAGAAAGAAAAGAAAAGAAAAGAATAAAAAAATGGAGGAAAAAAGAATATAGGAAGAGAAGAATGGAAAAGAACGAAGAAAGAAGAAGAAAAAAGTAAGATAAAAACTAAAGGATGTGAAGGGAAAAGAAGAAAGAAGAGAAAAAAGAAGGAGGGTAGGAAAAGCAAGGGAATATAGAATATAGGGAATGAAGAACGAAAAAGAAGCAAGAAAGAAGAAAAGAAGAACGTAGAGAATGAATGATGAAGAAAGGAGAACAAAAAGAAGAAACGAGAACAAAAAGAAGAAAGGATAACGAAAAGAAGAAATAAAGATGAAAGGAAATCAAAAAGAAAAGAGACTATAACGAAGAGAAGAAAGGAGAAAGGAGAACAAAAAGAAGCAAAAAAAGAATAATAATTGAAATTGAAATATAAAAAGAAGCAATAAAAGAAAAGAAAAAAGAAAAGAAAATGAAGAAGGAAAAATGAAGATGGAATGGAAAGAACAAGGTGACGACATTCGATGAAAAAAATAAAAAAGAAGAAAGAAAGCAAAGAATGAAGACGAAAAGAACGAATAAAAGAAGGAAAATAAAAACTGAAGAATGAAAAAAAGGAAGAAAAGAAAGAAAAAGGAAAACAGAAAGTAAATAACGAAAAAAAAAAGAAAGAAAAGAATGATGAATAAAAATATTAAAAGTAAAATGAAACAAGCGGTGACGAAGGAATAAACGAGGAAGGAGACAAAAGTAAGATGAAAAGTGAAACATGAAAAAGAAGAAAGAATGAAAGAAAATAACGTAGGAAAAGAAAGAATTGAAGAAAAGAATATAGAATAGAGGAAGTGAAGAATGAAAAAGAAGGAAGGAAGGATAAAAAAGAAGATAGAAAGTAAAAAATGAAAAAGAAAGAAAAGAAGGAAGAAAAACGAGAAAGAAAGGAAAAGGAAAAGAAAATAAGAAGTTGATATAAAGTGAAGATTGAAAGAGAAAAAAAATTAAAGATGGAACGGAGAGACAAAAGATGAAGAATAAAAATCAGGGAGAAAAAAAGAAATATAATAAAAAGAATGACAAAGAAGAAAAAAAGAAGAAAAAAGATGAAACGAAACGAAAAAAGAAAGGAAATTAAAAATGAAACATCGATTGAAAAATGACAACGAAATAAATAAAGAAAAGAAAAAGAAATATATGTAGTGAGGAATGAAAAGGAAATACGAAAGGAAATGAAAAAGGGAGAAAGAAAGAAAGAAAGAAAGAAAGAAAGAAAGAAAGAAAGAAAAGAAGACGAATTCAAAAGAAGGAAAGGCAGAATTGTAAAATGCTAATAGAAAGAAAGAAAGAAAGAAAGAAAGAAAGAAAGAAAGAAAGAAAGAAAGAAAGAAAGAAATTTAAGAATGTGAAAGAAAAAAGAAAAAGAATAAAGGAAATTTCGGATGGGAGGAACCTAGAAATAAGGGGAAAAGAAGAAAGTAAAAAACTGTAAAAGGCAGAAGGTGAAGACGCAAAGAACATGAAGGAAAGAAATGGTAGATATGAAGAAAAGAATGACAACGAAAGAAAAAAAGAAATAAAATAAGAAACGAAGCGAAAAAAAAAAGAAAATTAAAAATGAAACATCGATTGAAAAATGAAAACATAATAAAAATAAAGAAACGTAAAAGAAATATATGTAGTGAGGAATGAAAAAGAAATACGGAAGGAAATGAAAAAGAGTGATAGAATGAAACGACAGAAAGAAAGAAAGAAAGAAAGAAAGAAGAAAGAAAGAAAGAAAGAATGAGGAAAAAAATAAAAGAAGAAAAAAGAAATTTAAGAAAGGAGGACAAATGAGAGAAAAGGAAGATAGAATTTAAAAACTGCAAAAATCAGAAGGTGAAGACGCAAAGAGAATGAAAGAAAGAAAGGGTAGATATGAAGAAAAGAATGAAAATAAAGAAAAAAAAAACTAAAAATTAAAATAAAGATGAATAAAAGAAAAAGTGCAGATAGAATGAGGGAAGAAAAAAAGGGATTTAAAAAGGAATACAGATCTGACAACCAGAAGTAATGAAAGAAGAAAGAAAGATACCAAATGAAGGATGAAAAAGAAAGAAGGAAAATGAAAAAGGCGAGAGAGAATAGATAAGAAAGAAAGAAAGAAAGAGAGAAAGAAATAAGAAAAAAGTGAAGCCTGAGAAAGAAAACAGTAAAAAAACAAATGAAAACTCAGAAAGTTAGTAAAGAAAGAAAGAAGGACAAAAAGAAAATGGAAAGTAAAGATTTAAAAAAAAAAGAAGAACAGAAAAAAAAAGCAAAGAGGAAGAAGATAAAGAGGGGGAAGGAAAGTAAAGGAAAGAAAGCGATATTGGAAGGAATAAAATAGGGAAAAATAACGTAGAAATGGTGAAAAGAAAATTGAATCAAGAAGGAAAAAGAAGGAAGACAGAAATTAAAAACGGAATATACGTTGAAGAATGAAAAACGAAAGAAATAAGGAATAATGGAAACTTTAAAAAATCGGATACGTTTTCTCATTTTCCTTACACGTCACTTCCTTTCTATTCTTTTTTATTTCTTTCATTTTTGCCTTTCGCCTGTCTCCTTTTTTTCTCTTTACTTATTTGCTTATTTATGTTTCTACTTTTTAGAGCCTGATATCGTTTCTCTGCATCGTATCTTTCTTCTTCTTCTTCTTCTTCTTCATGATACTATTTTTAATGAATCTTCTAGAATATTTCTCTTCTTTTTTCCTCATCAATTCTTTTTTATTCTTTTTCAATGTTTCTAATAATCCTGAATATTTGTTCTTTTTCTTCTTGAATGATTCTCCTTCTCTTTTCTTCTCCTTCTTCTTCTTCTTGAATGTTTCACCCTGTCTTTTCTTCTTCTTCTTCTTCTTCTTCTTCTTCTTCTTCTTCTTCTTCTTCTTCTTCTTCTTATTTCTCCTCCTTCGTATTTTTATTTTGAATATTTCTTCTAGAATATTTCTATTTTTTGTTCAATGTTTTTATCTTTTTGAATGTTTCTCATTCATCTGCGTCGTCTTCTTTCGCATATGTTTTTTCTTCAATATTTTTCTTTTTACTTTTTCTTATTCTTGAATATTTCTGCTTATTCCTCTACTTCAATGTTTCTACCTTTTAGAACCTGATAACGTTTCTCTCCATCTTCTTCTTCTTCTTCTTCTTCTTCTTCTTCTTCTTCTTCTTCTTCAAGGTATCTTTTTCTTCGTAATGATTCCTCATTTTTCATATTACTCGTCTTCTTCAATGTTTTCCTTTTCCGTCTTCTCCTTGAATGTTTCTTCTTTTTCTTAAATGTTTTCTATTTATTCTGCTTCAATATAACTTCTTGAATATTTCTCTTTTTTCTTCTTTTTTTTCATCATCTTTTTCTTTTTCAATGTTTCTTATTATTCCTGAATATTTCTTCTTCTTCTCCCTTTTCTTCTTCTTCTTGAATGTTTCACCCTCTCTTTTCTTCTTCTTCTTCTTCTTCTTCAATATTTCTCCTCCTTCGTCTTCTTATTTTGAATATTTCTTCTAGAATGTTTCTCCTTCTTTTTGTTCAATGTTTCTTCTTTTTGAATGTTTCTCCTTCATCTGCGTCTTCTTCTTTCGCGTATGTTTTTTCTTCAATATTTTTCTTTCTACATTTTCTTATTCTTGAATATTTCTGCTTATTCCTCTACTTCAATGTTTCTATCTTTTAGAACCTGATAACGTTTCTCTCCATCTTCTTCTTCTTCTTCTTCTTCTTCTTCTTCTTCTTCTTCTTCTTCTTCTTCTTCTTCAAGGTATCTTTTTCTTCGTAATGATTCCTCATTTTTCATATTACTCGTCTTCTTCAATGTTTTCCTTTTCCGTCTTCTCCTTGAATGTTTCTTCTTTTTCTTAAATGTTTTTCTATTTATTCTGCTTCAATATAACTTCTTGAATATTTCTCTTTTTTCTTCTTTTTTTTCATCATCTTTTTCTTTTTCAATGTTTCTTATTATTCCTGAATATTTCTTCTTCTTCTCCCTTTTCTTCTTCTTCTTGAATGTTTCACCCTCTCTTTTCTTCTTCTTCTTCTTCTTCTTCTTCTTCAATATTTCTCCTCCTTCGTCTTCTTATTCTTGAATATTCCTGCTTTTTCCTCTACTTCAATGTTTCTACTTTTTCATCTACGTTATTTCTTGTTCCGAAATGTTTTTTTTCTTCTCTTCGAACGTTTCTGCTTTACCTGTTCTTCTTTTCTTCTTTTTTATTTTTGTATTTTCCTTGTTTCTTTCTTTCTGCAGTATTTACATTAGTCGGACTATTGTCCTCATCTTTGTCGCCATATTTGTCACAACGTTTCGGCCGTTGTACGCTCCGGCCTTCTTCAGGTGTTTGGAATTTCGAACTGAACCCTTTATTTCGATCACTGGGGTAGACTGTTCTAATTCCACGTGCCTCAAGGACACATGGCACAGTGGATAAAGGCGTTGGTTAGATCCAGTGACAGACCCAAAGAAGGTGAGTTCAATTCCTGGTTAAGGCAGTGGAGAACTTTCAGAGGGAAAATTAGCAGGAGATAACTGATAACTGACATCCATCAAACATGGCACGTGGAATTAGAACAGTCTACCCCAGTGATCGAAATAAAGGGTTCAGTTCGAAATTCCAACCACCTGAAGAAGGCCGGAGCGTACAACGGCCGAAACGTTGTGACAAATATGGCGACAAAGATGAGGACAATAGTCCGACTAATGTAAATAGTGTACATAATACCTCATCTCAGAAATATAGACAGATACTGAAGGATCGGATAAATATGGCAACAAAGATGAGGACAATAGTCCGAATAATGTAAATAGTGTACATAATACCTCATCTCAGAAATATAGACAGATACTGAAGGATCGGATAAATATGGCGACAAAGATGAGGACAATAGTCCGAATAATGTAAATAGTGTACATAATACCTCATCTCAGAAATATAGACAGATACTGAAGGATCGGATAAATATGGCAACAAAGATGAGGACAATAGTCCGAATAATGTAAATAATGTACATAATACTTCATCTCAGAAATATAGACAGATACTGAAGGATCGGATAAATATGGCGACAAAGATGAGGACAATAGTCCGAATAATGTAAATACTGTACATAATACCTCATTTCAGAAATATAGACAAATTCTTTCTTTCTTTCTCTCCTCCTCCATCATTTCCTTTCTTTGTTTCTTTTTTTCTTCGCTATCTTTTCTTTTCTCTTATTTTCCTTTACATCATTTTACTTTGCTTTCTTTTTCTCTCTTTTCCTTATATGTCTCCCTGTTTCTTTTCTTTTTCTATTCTTTTCATTTTTCTTTATTTTTTCTTTTTCTCTTTTTTCGTGCGTCTTTCTTTTCTTTTTTATCTTCTTTTTCTCTCCTCATTCATTTACACCCCTGTTTTCTTCTTTTTTTTTTCAATGTTTTTCTTTTTTTCGTCTTCTTCCTTTGAAAGTTTCTCCATTATTCATTTTTAATGTTTCTTATACTTATTATTTTTCTTCTTCTTCTTCGTTTTCTTCTTCTTCTTCTTTCTTCTTCTTCTTCTTCTTCTTCTTCTTCAGTATTTCTCCTTCATTTTTAATATTTCTTTCTTCTTTTCCTTATTTTTAATTTTTCTTCATGCGTGTTTCTCCTTTCTTCATTTTCTTCTTCTCCAATGTTCATTCTCCTCCTCCTCTTCTTCTTCTTCTTCTTCTTCTTTAATGTCGCTTCTTCTACTTCTTCTTATGCAATATTTCTTCATCTTGGACGTCTCTCAATTTTTGTTCTTTTTAACGTTTCTTCAACTTGCGGAATGTTTCTCCTTCTTCATTTCCCCCTTCTTCATCTTCTTCTTTTTATTCATCTAAAATGTTTCTTCTTCTTTTCCTCCTCTTCTTTTCTTCTTCTTCTTTGTTTTCCTAATTCTTTTCCTCTATTTCTACTCTTCTTCTTTTTAACTTCATATGTTTTTTAATCTTTCTTTCTCTCTTCTCTTCTTTTCTTTCCTCTATTCGCCTCTCGTTTCATTCCTTTCATTTTTAACACAAGGAAAGATCTTAACTTGCAGAAAATAAACTCTTTAAAAAAAAAATAATCAAAACTAACGCAATTTCAAACAAACAAAAAAAAAATTAATTTGAAACTGGAAGTCATTTCGTCCTTTCAATATTCGAACAGCCATGCAAATTCGATAAGTCAGTTTCGCATATAAAAATCGAATACAATCTCTCTTCTTTTTTTTTTTTGAAAGATTCTACATTTCAAATTAAGTTTTAAAAATGGAACGTGCATTTGGAGGTATACCCTCAAAAGAGAACCAAGCATTTTTTTAAAAAATGGGCGGACAATAAGGAAAATTCCTGCTGAGATCAAGATGGAAGCAAGATGAATAGATTCCAAGAAGGATTTAAATGAAATTAATACAAGACTGAATGGGACACTCAAAGACAGAGAGAGAGAGAGTTGCAAAACGTCAGACAAATAAGTCAATATAGACGAAAAAGGTGTCTGGATGTTTGTATGTAAGTATCTATATCTATATATCTATGGATGGTCGAGAAGTATAATGGGTAGCGCTTCATGAGAAATCAGAGAACTGAGTTCGAATTCCAATCGAGATCGTTACACTGACATTCGCACAAATATGAAATCATCTTTTCTCAACCGGATTCTTGTTGAATAACAGCACGGGCTGAGCACTCTAGTGGTGAGCAACTAGTCACAACACTGTAACCAGAGATTTAAATTGTCAGCAATGGACATGCTCGTCTACCGAGTCGACTGCCATATATATATATATATATAGATAGATAGATAGATAGATAGATAGATAGATATAGCTTGCCACTCGTATTCGAGGATACCTATCTACTAGGGCGGCTATATATATATTGTGCGTGTATTTAGGTAGCATTTTTTAATTAATACATGTTTCATTAAATAATATAGACAAGTTTTGTCTATTTATTTTAAGCAAAATCCTTGTCATGGGTCCTTACCTATAACTACAGAATGAACTCTTCCTAACACTATGTATACTACGCCTCTCAAGAGAGAGGGGGGAATCAAGCCGAACTTCTCGGCTTGACGGTCGAACTCTCTGTCTCTGAGCAGAGAGGAACCCGGACGGGGCTCCGCCGAAGGGCAGAGTCTCGTTCGGGGAGAATGACCAACTCGATCCCATTTATACGGGTTCTACGGGCATTTATTTGGCCGAGCCTACGGGCTCGGGAAACCCACGTTAAACTAGGCCTTGTGCCACATGCAACTTTGTGGGAGGGTGGCTAGATACCGAATAAAGCCGAACTTCTCGGCTTGACCGTCGAACTCTCTGCCTCTGAGCAGAGAGGAACCCGGACGAGGTTCCGCCGAAGGGCAGAATCTCGTTCAGGGAGGTTGACCAACCCGATCCCGTTTATACGGGTTATACGGGCATTTTTTTGGCCGAGCCTACGGGCTCTGGAAACCCACTTTAAACTCGGCCTTGTGCCACATGCAACCCTCGTGGTGGGGTGGGGGCTAGATA